CGTATGGACCTTCCCAAGCGTTGTAATTTCGGGCAACGTACCTTGCTGGATGGTGTAACCAGACATTATCGCTTTAATTAAAATCTGCAGAGTTAGCTCGTTGATCGTATTTGATCTTCGTGCGGTTACATTCAAATCTCAACTTCATACGCACAACATTATGGATGATTTCTAGTTGTTCTCGTAATTCGCCCATTTACTCGTCTCTCGGTACTTAAAAGTCTCCAAGATGACCAAACATCATGTTTGCTGGCAATCTGAGTTTTTTTTTAAAATTCTGGCTGGTGTTCTAGTTGGATGGTGGATCTATATACCAGAAGAAATAGTGGTATGCGTCAGTCATAGTCAGTTTGGCGTTCGTTGACAACGTTTCTTAAATTGATCTCCAGAGTAGCGTTAAAGCGTTCAACAATTCCATAAGACTGTGGATGTAAGGGCATAGTCCTCGTTTTAGTAAAGCCCTTTAATTCAGTGAAGTTCATGAGCAATTCGATGTTCCTGCCTTGGTAGGAATGCAATTCCAGTACTCTACACCGGCTAATCTAATCATTGGCATGCTTCTCAACAACAGTGTGGGCTTGCTGGTTCAATATCGCATGCTTCGGGCTGCTTGCTACTTCCCACGTTGTGCTTTTGCATTCGTCCACGACTTCTTGCCTTCTGTCCATCACTGGCAGCATATATCGGGCATTTCCTATACCAGTCTTCCACATCGCTTCTACTTCTACTCATTTGAAGACTGTTTTAGCAAAGTCCCCAATGACTTTTTCCTTTTATTTTTGTACTTAGGATAACACACCACCAAGCTGAACTGATGAATTGGTAAGTAAATAATAATAAAAGTGTTGATTAGACAGCAAATACTTAAATGAAAGTAGTAGACGTAGGCAAAGGTGTTTAAATAGATGACATTTAGTGTTAGGTGTGGGGTAAAAGAAGGCTTCTGTCGAATATTCCAAAGTGTTCATTGGCCAATTTTCTGGATGTTTCCATCGGCTGCAAGAAATCCTAGCATTATACTGTATGAATGCTCTCGACGTCTTTGAAGAATTTCATCGAACTTTCTGGAAGTTTTCATTGACTGGAAAGCTCTCGAAGAGAGAAGAAAGAATCTGACGTCATTAAACAGTTCTAAAGTATCTGGAAGTTTTCGTTGAATGCTGGAAACTCATAAGTGACATATCGTTTAAGAACAAATCCGACGTTATCAAAGAGTTCCATCGTAGTTTCTAGAAGAAATCGAGATATTGCATGCCTGTCACGACTAAAGCTACATAAGCGAAAATGGAGAAACAAATAAAACCATTAATGGCAATGATAGCAAAAATGAAAGCAGACATGTAAACTGGATAAGAAGAAATGAAAGAAGGCAGGCATGAAAATTGGGTAGGAAGAAATGAAATAGAAAATGGAAGCAGTACCAGATGACGTGAAACTGACACAAGAACAACTAAAAGCTGCTCATTGAGAAATGAAAGAAGAATTAAGAGTAGCTCAAGAAGAAATGAAACAGAAAATGGAAGAGGCACAAGAAGGAATGAAAAAGGGTCTGGAAGAAATGAAATTAAAATTAGTGCAAGATGATATGAAAATGGGACAAGATGAAATGAAAACAGAAATAAAGAACATACATTATGCAATAAATACAAAAATGGAGGAAAAGATAAATGACTTCAGAATCGAGATGGAAAAGTAAATAGAAGAAAGAGAGATTAAACTATGGACGACACTGGAAGAAATGGTGGAGGCGCGAATTGAAAAAATAAAAGAAGAAATTGAGAAGCTACAATTACCTCATACTGCAAGAACTGGCGAGTCCAGTGCAAGACTATCAGAAATAAGACCTCCAACTTTCGATGGGAAGACCTCGTTGTCCGTTGATCTGAAGCAGTTTGGAGTACTCCAAGGAACGTCCGATTCTCATCAATATGACTTCCATCTTTATGTCAACCGCAGAGAAATGAGGTACGGCGATAGACATCTACAGTAGGTACATCAGACGCAACTGAAAAGCCGTAATCAAAGAAGTAACGAGACTTCAACAATTTGAGTCTGATGTGGAGCGCCTTTTTAGCTAGGGCACATAAGTCGAGAGCGTTCCTCAAACAAAACACGGCAGTTGAAAAACTAAGATCAGCCAAGTTTGTGTAGCGTAAGTTGGCTTACCCTCACCAAGCCGTCGAATAAGTGGTTATTTAAAGATTGGACGGCACTAACTCATTATTTATAGACGTCGCTATAAATTAGCACAATGTTAGAATGGTTATTGACACAAGAGTATCCAACATTGTCGTTCTACCTGATGTGGTATCAGAATGGCAAATTCGACCAGAAGTCAATAATGTTATAAGAGAAATGCATAAACAAGGGATAGTAGAACCATCTCAAAGTTGTTGGGCTTCCCCTATAGTGCTGGTACGCAAGAAGGATGGTTCCACGAAATTTTAGGTGGACTACAGGAAGTTAGGCGTTACGAGACCCTAGGGAAAGTACGCGGGCGATTTTGTTCGCCACAAAGTAGAAACGATGTGGAGGACTGGTGCAGGAAATTTCCAACATGCGCCGCCAGTAAGGGACCGAAGACAAGGAGTCGTGGACGAATGCAATAGTACAACGTGAGTGCCATTTGAGAGAATTGTAGTCAACGTGGTAGGACCATTCACAATGATAGACTCCGGTACATCTTGACTTGACTATTTTAGTAAGTGAAACCAAGCATGTGCGATACCGAACAACGAAGCACACACCGTTGTTGAAAAGCCTATCAATGACTGGATTAGCTGATATGGATTACCATAGGGATTGCATTTCGATCAAGACAGGACTTCGAATCAGCTTTGTTTAAGAACGAAACTAAACTAATGGGCGTTACTAAAACGGCGACTACGCCCTTATACCTACAATCTGATGGAATGGTTGAACGATTCAACGCTACACTGGAGACTAATTTAAGAAGCGTCACAACGAACACCAAACTGACTGAACCACTATTCCTCTTGACTTAAAGATCCGCCGTCCACGAAACATCTGGAAGAGCACGCGCCAGCATCTTATTCGGGAAAGAACTTGGATTGCCTGCGGACATGATGTTTGGTCGTCTTGGAGACTATCCATTACCTACAGACGAATACGTTGACGAACTGCTAGAACTACTAGAAACCATCCATAATGCTGTGCGGATGAAGCTGCGATTTGAAGGTAACCACATGAAAACCAGATACGATCGACAAACCAATTCAGCTGGCTTAAATAAAGGCGGTAAAGTATTGCTATATAAATCATCAAGGCGGAAAGGACGTTACCGGAAACTACAGCAGGCTTGGAGTGGTCCATACACCGTTGCTCGACGCATAAGCGACGTTGTTTATCGAATCTTAACCGACTTGCTCCCTACAGAGGTGACGTCACTGTTCGAGACTATCAGTTTTAGAAGGCAGGCAGTGTCATATGGATGTAGGCAACCTAACACACAAGGCAACAAAAAAGGATAAGTTTCTAGACGGCATATACTGATAAATGCTAGAAAGGGTAATGTCTCTATAAATAGTTGTCGCAAGATCGAGTGTGTTAGTACAAGTCAGTGAGTTCGGGGCGATACAAAGTGAAGAAGAAGAAGCGAAGAATTGACAATCTGCATGGTAGTGAATTGATAAGTAAACAATCATAAAAGTGTTGATTAAACACCAAATACTTAAATAAATGTAGTAAACGTGAGCAGAGGTGTTTAAATACGTGACTATATGTATACATATTGATGTTTCCACCACTCACCCTTTTCACATTCCTTATCCGCACAATTGCTCTCAAGCCAAGTTACAATTTTTTTGTTTGTAATAATGAAACTAACAATTCTGATTCAGTCTGCAAATAATAAAGTATTACTTAGAAGCTTGTACTTATTTTTTGCACTTCAATTACCCCAAATTGTAATTTCGTGTGTAACTTTTTTGAATTAAGTTTTTTAATTCAAAAAACAGAATTCTCCTGAACTTAGGAATTCAAATAGGGGCCACACGTTTTTTCTGTGGACTAAACAATATGAAAAAGGGTAACTGCCCCTTACTTCGATTCGATATACCTTAGACACACTTACTGGATCGATGTTATTTTTAACGTTAGACCTCAAAAATGGCTACTAGCAAATAGGTTTAGATCTTGAAGCAAAAAAAACGGGCATTCTCTATATGTGGCAATTTAAAATAATGCCGTTCGGTTTTGCAATGCGTCAGCCACATTCGAACGACTCAGGAAAACGGCCTTAAGTGACTTTATTGGAAAGACATGCCTTATATACCTCGACGGCATCATTGTGATCGAAGAAAACTTCAGCGACCACATGTAATATATGGAGAAACCATTCCGAGGACTTTAAGATGTCAATCTAAAACTGAGATGCAAGAAATGTCAGTTGTTTAAAGAATCAGTCAACTACCTGAGCCATGTAGTTTCGAAGACCGGCGCTTCAATCGACCCGCAGAAGACTACAGTGGCGCAGGAGTGGCCAGTAGGACCTATCGACGTATATCAAGTCGGAAACCTCCTTGGGCTCTCTATGTATTAGAAACGATGCGTTCCTAGATTTGCCAATATTGCTAAATCCCTGATTTGACTTACTAAAGGAAGTAGAAAACCGGGCACTAAACTGCATTCGGGTGTTAAAACAAAGCCTCGCTTCCATACCTGTGCTAAGTTATCATCTACAGCTAGGAAATTCGTTTTAGACACCGATGCTAGCAATATTGCGATCTTGGTGTTACTCTCTCATATTCACAAGGAAGAGAAAAAATCCATCGGCTATTTGAGCAGAAGTCTATCCAAAACTGAGCATGTAAACAGGCGTGAACTGTTTAATATAGTTTCTAGAGTGGTGTCACTACCCTTTGTTGTTTTTTACTTGTTGTACTTATTAAAGCTTTGTCATTATTTAGTCTCACTAGTCACAGACACCAAAGTAATATTTTTAATTATCATGCTAATTATTTTATTAATTTCTTTTACAGTATTAAAATACATGACCTTAATAGTTTGCAAGAAACATCCAGTCTTTTAACATTGCCCCACGAATCCGAATTGGATAAAATAGTATGGAGTGATGATGGAAAACTTCTTGCAGTCTCTACTATAAATGGTTCAGTAAACGTGTACGTCTTAAATGTGCCAATGTTAACTTCTGTATTTGGTACTAAAATTCTGGTTTTGTCGAATTTATCTGAAGTAAACTTGTACAATTTTTGTGGAAATAAGGTAGAAATTCACTTAAAAGTTTAAGTAAATTGTTGAAAATCAAAACATCAAGTATACTACAATTTAATTAGAGAATTGATACAGAGTGGTTTTTGAAATAAGTAGCAAGAATTGAAGGGTGTCAACTAGATGCAGAAGGGAAATCGTATAGTGAGTAAAGCAGCGTGGTTGAGGGACAAAAAAATTGGCAACGTATAGAGAAATTACGATAACAACTACTAAGCAACTACATAGATGAAAAATGTAAAATGTTGTGGAACAACTAATAAAGTAAATGTTAAAAAGTTGCTACTACTCTACTACACATAATTTTTAGATGACCATTCGATTACAATTAAATAACTACTTTGTTCATCGCTGATAGCATTTAGTATTATTTAATAAGAAATTAATAGTAATTTTATTAAATTCCCAAACCACCGCTGAAGTATTGCCAAGCCCAATCCACCGATTAGAAAAATTAATTACAAAACCAGTAAACACATAGACACACACACATTCGTACGTACACTACAATAATTATTTCCAAGTCGCGCAAAAACGTCCGGCGTTTGACGCTTGATACACGCTCTGTTTCATACAATCCATACAAGGAAGTCAAACACTTTTAGATTAGGACTACGTGCCGGCCAGGGTACAGGAGCAATAACACCAGGAATACGAGAACTAGGTACGTATGGAGCAAAAGACCAACAACCTAAATTTCGCCTCAATTAGGAGCATCTTCAGGGTTAGGTTTCTAAGTTATAAAATCTGTATGATCAAGGTTGCGGCAATTTTGTAGTGGAAACATGAATTAATGTGTAATAAATTAGAACAAATAATTAAAATCACTTATAATACACAATGTATAGATAAAACAAATTGTCTATTGAATCAATGAAATCTATTCTCATAAAATACAGATGTTAGGCATTTTCTGCAATGTTAGCAGAATACGGTATATAAATACTCGTGTCCAGAATTACTTCTTCACTTATACAAATGTATTGATCCTTAGACATCTCATTTGTGAGTCAATTTTCAAATTTTGTTTAAATAAGTTTTTCTGTTTTTAAAAACGGATTTTCACTTTAAACAAAAATAACTGGCGCTGCGAACAGGATCGGTAACGGCGTTTTTATAGTGGTTTNACAGATGTTAGGCATTTTCTGCAATGTTAGCAGAATACGGTATATAAATACTCGTGTCCAGAATTACTTCTTCACTTATACAAATGTATTGATCCTTAGACATCTCATTTGTGAGTCAATTTTCAAATTTTGTTTAAATAAAGTTTTTCTGTTTTTAAAAACGGATTTCTATTTTATACAAAAATAAATGGCTCTGCGAACAGGATCGGTAACGGCGTTTTTAAGCAAGTGCTGAAAATGTCGCGAAAGTACAGTTTTGATTTTACCGATTCGAAATCCCTATGAAAGAAATTCCATCTTCCGGAGACCTTCAGTGAAAAGGAACATCTTCAGGAACCTCCGGTGGAAAGGAAATGAATCGTTCCATCACCTTTCTTTACCTAAGCTTGTGGGTACCTTTTGATTATTTCTTTATTTTTTGCTTGTATGCAACCAAACTGTTAATGTCTCTTTCCGAACCTGATTCCGACATCGAGAACAGTATTCAACGTCAATTTTTTTTTCACCCAAAATTAACATCAAACCCCCGATTTTAAATCTTTCAAACGAAATGACCTAGTCAAACCCTACGACTTTCGATTTCACGTGTGCTGACGCACAACATCAAATATATACGGTTCCCAAATTTTCTGGTGACCCTTACGAACTTTCAAATTTTATAAACAAGGCAGAACATTATTGTTCTACTCACAGCAATAACGTTCCATCTACTAAGAATGTAGCATTACTTAATTTAATTGTGACTCGTATTACTTGCAAAGCTGCTCGATATATTAGTACAAAGACTGTCAATAATTGAAGAAGCTTTTGCTAGAAAAAGAAGGTGACCCCCGTTCTGAAATAATTTTAGAATTAGAACTAACACGATGTAGTCAACAACGTAATTGAAGTTATTCCAAATATTATGAAAAATTAGCTAACCTGTTAGACTTTGTTCGCCTAAATGATAAAGACAGTCTGTTAATAAAATCAAAAATGTATGAGATAAAGCCTTAATGGTATTTAGAGCCGGAATTATAGAGCCTTATCGCTCACACTTAAGCCATATCAGGACTAAAACACTCAAGGGTGCATTTGAAGTATGTCGCACTCGACAATGTAGGGTATATGTCACGAGTTTGGGATTATCAAAACCATCAAAAGGACGTAAAAACGAACCCCAAATGTTTACATCTGCACCTACTCAATTTAATCGATCTTTTCCAATCAGCCGTCTGCCTCACAACCACGATTAAATTATAATCCTCTTACTACGCAAACTACACCTTTTCCAAGAGGACCTATAAACATCCAAAGTAGGCCAATAAAACAACATTTTGCTACTAATCAACAAGTATTTGGGAAGCCCTTAAGCAACGTCTTTAAAAAAAAAAACGTCCTACCACCACATCAACTACCAAAACCGACTCCAATGTCGACAAGCACCCGAAATACATTTACATCTGGTATAACTCGACCACCTCAACGATTTGTTAATCATTTTAAAAGTACTGGTCCGCCAAATTTCATCTCTGAAGAATTAACAAACATGGAAGAAAACATATCTCGAAACAGAACAGGAATTTGAGTTTTAAGAAAATGTGGAAAATTACGACACTGAAGAAAATTATGAAGACGAAAACGAAAATTTTCAACAGACAGCCTCTTCATTTCCGATAACATAGTTGACTTAAATAACGCCGCTAGTATGGCAAAATTGTCATTTATTATATTGCCCAACGGTTTAAAAAGTTTAATTGACACTGTTTCATGGTAGTTAATGTTTTGTATTTATTTGTACTTATCCTTATTTTCTAAATTCTTTAGATTCTTTAAACCAATTAGAAGAGTTGATTGATTTTCAAATGGTACAGCAGTACACCTGAAGGTCTATCGAACACGCGCTTTTCCTTACATTATTAAACGGTCCTTCGAGCCGGATATTAAAAATAAGTGCAGAAAAAACTGTCGTGTGATATCATCACCGATAAGGTGTGTGACTTGGCATCACATCACCTTAATCATCATCAACGAGTGTGGTTTCACATCATCATCAACGAGTGTGGTTCCACATCATCATTATCAATCATTAATGAAGACATCACATTCCAACCAAGACAGCGAGGCAATATCGATCCAATCCACAATCAGAGGTCAAAATCGAACAATTAAAGTAAGTGCGCATCCTTTCTTACTAATCCCATTTTCATATTCAACTGCTTCAATTTGAGTAATTATGGAGGCGCTCAAAGGTTTAACTATTCAAAGGGGTCAGATCAAATCGCGCCTTACAAGACTAACTAAGAGACCGATATCTTGGAATTACAAGATCGTCTCCAAAGAGACCAAGATTTGTTAAATGACTACGAACGGATTCATTTGCAAATTATTAATATTTCCGATGACCCGACACATGATGTGGATTATGAAACGTTCGAAAACAATTTCTTTGATATAAATGTAAAAATTAAATCCTTATTAATAAAAACAAGAATAATTCAAATCATATAAGAACAAAGGCTTTCACGGCCGGAATCCATAGTAGAATGAAGATTCGGGCTATAGAGCCGTGGTCTAAGTGAACTATTGTGTCCAGACGTTTCGTGAGCTACTGCGGCTGACATCCTCAGTGGTATTGCTGCGTTGACAACGTGAACGTATATTATATCTCGAAGTCTCGACAGCGACTGGGTGCTGGGTGTGGAGAGCTTAAAAAAAAAACTTTTGGGTGTTTCATTCCCAGCAGCCAGTAATGCTGGTGGGCGGGCAGTCCCTCCGGACTATGCCGGAAGGTAGGGCGGAAGGCCCTCTTCAGCCTGCTTTCAGGAATCGTGGGAATGGGTGGGTGGTGGTTCCGGTGAGAAAGATGAGACGGACGAAATGAAGACAGAACGGGTTTTTCCTTACAAGAACAATAGAGGATCAACCCCTACAGCTCCCCTGTTTGGATTGTTCCAAAAAAGATGAATGCTAGTGGAGAAAAGAAATATCGACTTGTTATTGATTATCGACGATTCAATAAAAAAAACTGTGGAAGATAAATTTCCAATGCGGAAAGTTGAGGAAATTCTTGACAATTTAGGAAGGTGTACTTATTTTTATACGCTGGACCTTGCCCAAGGTTATCACCAAATTGTAGCTAAGGACTCCATCGAAAAGACGGCAATCACAGTGCACAATGGATACTATAAATATGTACGGATGCCTTTTGGATTGAAGAATGCATGAAAGAACACAGCCATACATAAATGCACAGTTCTGTTTTAATATTCTAAACGTTTTGATAGAAAAGGTTTTACTAATAGAAAGGTCAATTACTTTCAGTAACGAAAATTTCTTATACCTCGAATTAATTTCTCTTGATACCTTTTCTGAAACTAAACAACGTCTTTTTAACACATTTCCGAAGCAGACAATACAATACCTTAATTCTTCTCATTTATATGAGGTTTTTCCCCTATTTTTATTACAAACGTCTATAACTACTTAATTGGTTGTATACATTGTCAAAATACCTACCCTGCAACCAAGAGTTTACAATAATTTCCAAATCTATCCACTGCCTACAAACATTTTTATTATAGCTCCTCTTGCACGGTTTCTACTGCAACACCATGATGAATTCCTATGGACCAACGAGGAAGAACAACGAGCAAATGGTCTACTAATTTTCAAGAATGTCAATAGTAACGTTTGTCAGTTAAACGATAAGTGATTTGGCTCATTTGAAAAAATGAAAATGTTTGAGATTACTGTAACGAGCATGTAAATAAGAAACATCTAAACGGCAACTTTTTAATACATTCGCAACCTTTATGTCGGTTAATTATTGACAACAATATATATAGTTTTAAGAACATATCCTATGAACAACATTTTCAAAAATATGCAGAAAGGAAAAAATTAACGTCAAAGACATTTTGAAGAACCATTACAGATCAAAAATAATTTAATTAAAGATGAACCAATTGGTTTCTAACATCATATTGTATTGTGCGCCGTATTTGTAAATGTGTGTGTCGTTCCAGCGTTCTGGGAAAGTAGTTAAACAGTTCAAAGAAAAAATTAACTGTCCGGATGTTTCCAGAAAGTTCCAGAAAGTAAACAAAAGAGTATTTAAAGGAAGAGACGATCGCCGCGATGAGAAGAAATAAATTGACCATTGTAAAAGTGAATCTAGAAATAGATTGACAGTGATAGCAGTGAAATAAATAGCGCCCTGAATAGTGCTTTTAAGTTCTTTAATAATTAGTGTAAATAAATAGTTTTTGTCATTATCAGTCTTAGAAGTAATTTTGTTAAACCAACGAACATTACAATAATAATTCTTCGATAATATTTTTGTCATTGTTGTAATTGTTACATTCTTTATTCTTAAATATACGTGTACTAGACTTAAGCAGCAAAAACCAAGGAAAGAAGAGACATCGATCAAGCACGGTAGAAATTCCCCTCAGGATTTATCCATGTTTACCTGGAAACATCGACGCTTTCAGCTTAATGAAGGGGAATTATATATTACGTCTTAATTTAATACAAAGGAACTATTGTACGACTTATGCACTGCGTTGCATTTTTGATACAATGAATTTATTGTATACACAACTTGTCTATTGATTTAATGAAATGTATTGTTCTGATAAAATAAAAATATTAGGCATTTTCTGTAATGTCAGCAGAACACGGTAAATTATTTCTCGTGTCCAGAATTACTTCTTGACTTATACAAATGTATTGGTCCTTGCGACATCTCATTTGTGAGTCAATTTTCAAATTTTGTTTAAATAAAGTTTTTCTGTTTTTTAAAATGGATCTCTATTTTAAACAAAAATAACTTGGTGGACCTTCGGACCGCCAAATAATTACTTTAATTTTCTTGTTTTTTGTGCCCGATCATCCCCTGCAAGCTTGCTACTTATTTCAGAAACACTCTGTACATATAGGAATCAGTATTTTATGTAAGATACCTATATTTACTTGTATTTGTTCGTTTTAGAAAAAACTGATTCCGATGCCTATACCTTTAGAAACTGAACCAAGTATTATAGCCGTGGGACCATACCATTTCATTACAGCGATCAATAATAAAGCTTGGTTTTATGATCTAACAAAGCAACCTTGTTCAGACACCGTTCCTTTGCTTTTACGAACTAAAGAATATCTTTCTACTATTACTAGCGTAAACATTAATTCAGAATATGCGTCTATCCTGTTCGATGGAAGAATAGAATTGCATTTGGTACGTTGAATGATTGTTTGATATACTTTTTATACTCTTTAATGTGTTTGTTCCAGATAGAACAACTTGAAGTTGAATATAAAAACCGGGAAGCTATATCTCTTCCCGATGCAAACTCCATATCAAAAATAACTTGTCAAGTTTTAACTACCGACTTCTTAATTTACGGGACTGATGTACGTTATGTAATGTGACAAGTGTTTATTTTATAATCCATTATAAATGTGGAAGAAATGGTGTATATAAAATTAGCAAGACTACTCGATCAAATCGGAAAATCGTCCGAATGAAATTTTGTCGTTAATTAGTTGTGAAAGAAAAAATTTGTTGTGTATTATTTTTTAAAAACATTGCATGTGGTAATTCTATGTAATGTTAGCAAAACTTTTGAGGCTATAGTTTTTCAAAAATGTTTTTTAACAACAATTAGCCAGCCAGGAATTTGCCGTAACAGAATGGTAATGCGTAAAGCTCAGCCGAGGTATTTGTCATGCATTACACACTTCCGTGCCAGAGTGTTAAAAATTTTAATAAATTTACGATGTCATTTTATTTATGTATTCATTTTTCTGGTCGTTTTATATATATATTTTATGATACCTTTCTTTCTGCTCACATTTCATCACCTAATAACCTAATCGTGGTTTTCTAAATCGCAATATTGTTATTTTGTTTTAATATGGATCTCTTAGTAAATATTTTATTAAGTAAATCTATACCATGTCGTGTTCGTTATTTGATATATCAGGTAAATAATTTCTTTTGCACTTCGATTTTTATTTAATTATTTGTTGTCTAATTAACGCATCTATTATTAATTAGCTATCATTTCACCACTATATGCACACTTTGCCACTTCTTCACTGTAATCGTCTTCGCTTTGTATCTCCTCGAACTCGTTTTCCTACTAACTCTACTCGTTTTCGCGACAGCTATTTATAGAGGCTGCCCATATTCTAGAAGGGCCCAGTATATGCCATCTAGGAACCTTGCTTTATTTGTCGCCATGTATGTTGGGTTGCCTACATCCATATGACACTTCCTCCTTTTAAAACTGATCGTCTTAATCAGTGACGTTGTCTCTGTAAGGAGCAAGCCGGAAAAGATAAACGATCTTCATCACCTTTATTAAAACCAGTAGAGTTGGATCGTCTACCGTATTGGTTTTCATGCGGTCACTTTCGAATCCCAAGTAACATGCTGGCTTGTGTTCTTCCAGTCGTTACTTGGATAGCGAACGTGAGTTCGAACTCCGCCGTATTGTTAGGTGGGAAGTTACAACAATATTATTGGAGCCTAATTGTCACATTTCATACATCCTTTTACAATGTTGGACTTCCTTTTAATTAAGTGTTTTCGGTTTTTATCGTGCAAGCTTTGTTTATAACTCGGTACTCGTTACAATGATATATTTACATTTTTACTGTTTCATTGTTTTCAAAACACGACTCTTGCTTTCGAGTGTTCAGAAAATAAACAATAAAAATTATGTGAATCAAAGTTGTACATGCAAGATTCGAAACGCTCGAATATTGCAAGTAGAATGAATCATCATTGCCTTTTGATTTCAGACGGATCACGGGACAGAGCTCCTTGATAAAAAATAAAATCGACAATGTTACGTCTAAAACTGGCTAATTACTGTCGTGATATCTATATGTACGATAGATAAATTTAGCTACACTTACACGACTCCTTCATGTTATATTCAATATTTTTCAGACTTGTTTCTACTTAATAATATTGTAGCGACCACGAGCGTGATTGTGTGCGATCGGGCATACGTGTGTGTGAGCGGCTTATCGATACGCGGGCGCTTTTCTTCATGTGCGCCGTATCTGTAAACGTGTGTGTCGTAGCTGCGTTCCGGGAAAGCAATTAAACCATTCAAAGAAAACGAGACTTCTCTGGACGGCTGGAGAATGTTCCCGAAAGGAGGCAAGGGAGTATAAAAAGAAAGAGACGATCGCCGAAGTAGAGTAGAAATAAATTGACCGTTGTAGAGGTGAATCAAGAGATAAATTGACAGTGATAGAAGTGAAATAAATAGTTTTCTTCTTAAAATTTAATTTGTTAAACCCACGAACATTACAATCTTTTCTCTTCTATTCCACTTTTTTCGTAAAATTGCTAAAATTATCTTCATGTATACCTATAGAATTACAAACTTTAATATTAAAATCAAATGAAATACCTTTTATAACCTTAATATCACTCACACACTCAGAAAACACTGCATACTGAGCTAATGAGGACGATTTTATCACATTTTCCTTTTTTTTTAGATTTTCAGTTAACTACATTTGCATACATTTTAATGACATATTGCCTAGGAGATAGTATTTACACCCATTGGCTTCCAAGTGATTCGTCCCCACTACTATTACTATATTTTTTCCTACCTACTTTTAATAAGTGTTTCAACCCACTTAAACATATTTTTATGCCTTTGTGCTTCCTTAGCCATTTAGACTTGGTGTTTTATCTCATTACATTTCAAATCTCTGGTGATTAATATCACCACTTTTGAAATACATGGTGGATTGCCTCAACTTTTTTTATTACCTAACTTTCAATGTTTGCTATCGATATTCTTCTACATCGTCACCGGTGATCCTTATACACACGAAAGTGAAAGATATTTTGCATGCATTTCTGCACACTTATACACATACCTATACAAACGTATAATATTCTATATAATTTTTATATTTTCGGTATAAATGGATAATTCTTTTCGCTTACTGCTTTGTTACTACGGAATGTCAAATACGATTATTTTGCAAGTAAATGAACTCGATATCTGTTTTATGAATTTGAAAAGAATAGCAACGTTATAATTATGAAATATTTAATTAATTTTGAAATATGTTGTAAAGTCTGAAATGGTTTTTTTAATTTCCTTAAAACTTCACTGAGTGACAATATCTATGCCTTAACTGTAGATATAGGCCTTGTTTCCGTATAGAATAAATGACTTGTTTCGTAAACATGCCGGCTTACTTGTTCTCTTAAAGTAACCCAAACAATACGGTTATCGCCAAAATACAACTCTTCGGTGAAAAAAGGTTTTGCCTGTACCAAATTTTTTGTTTTGTTGGCATCTCATAAAGGTGAACTTTCATTTTACCATTTCAAAAATAATTCGAACTATTCATAAAATAATTTTTATTTTCTAAATAATAGAAATACTAATGCAGCATAATATAAACCAGTTAAATCAAAATAATCACTCATATTTTTTTTTATCAACTACCTATACCAACTATCTTCACAATGCGAAATCTGTGTGACGCTATAGTCGTCTTCAAATACTATACCACTAAGTTTAATATTAGCCTTACTCTTTGGATTAGAAATAAATTGACTTTCTCATAAAACTATTCATTTGTATCTGATTACAGTTACCTCTTCTGCTGATTTAACACTTTATTTTATGGCCATTTTTACAAGCAAACAAGACAGGTTGGACACGTACCTCCACTCTTTCCTATCCTGAGCTAATCTTCGCATTTCCCTACAACTCCCATTTCTGCCTTTAGTATGTCTTTGACTAGACCTTCATATCTGAGAAGGTATCCTACCAACCTATCTCGCCTATTTTTTACTCACTTCCATTGAGTCCTCTGTTCCCCTATTCACTGTATCCTCATCATCACGTGTAACACCGCATTTCGAACGCTTCCAACCTTTCCTTTTCCACAGCGCCCACCGTCCATGTTTCGCACCCGAACAGCGCCGTGATCCAAACATACACGTCTAACAATCTTTTTCAAATTTCTCAATTACCCGTTCGCGAGCATAGAAGTGACACCTTTTTATTGAAGGCGACTCGACTCAGTGCTTTCCTCTGCTTTCCAACTTCTTTCGTCCTGACTTATCTGACTTTCTAGATACCTAAAATTAGCCACCCCTAATTTTTCGTCTCCTATCTTTATATTCGCTCTTTCCCTCCTTTTCTTCCCTTGTATACCAGTATTTTTGTTTTACTTTTATTTATTTTCATACAGTACTGCTTTGTCAATACCGCTTCCATTTTATTTAAATCTGTTTCTAACTCCTCCTTGCTAGATGCTAATACTGCTATATCATCTGCAAATCTAAATCTTTTGCACCTGTATGTCTATTCCTACAGTTGTACTGTTTTTAATGATGTTGATTGAGTCTTCAATGTATAGATTAACAACTAGCGGTGAGATTGTGCATCCCTGTCTGACTCCCTTCCTAATGTTTACTTCTCTACGTTGCAGCCCCAGGCTCTATAACTGCCTCTTGCCCTTTATACAAAATAAGTATTAATCTTCACCTTGAGAAGCGTTCGATATGTGGTGTTACAGGTGAATGTTGGGGATGCCGTGGATGAAAAAGATTAGAAATGAGGAGGCATGAAAAACAAAAGGAGAACAGAGGACTCTATCGAAGTCAATAAGAAATAGGCGAGATGGGTTGGTAAGATACCTTCTCAGGCATGATCGTCTAGTCAAAGACATATTATAGAGAGAAACGGGAGTTAGGAGGATAGAGGTTCGCAAATAGTTAAGGATGTGGGATGTTCTAGTTTTAGGAAAATGACAAGATTACTTTAGGATAGGAGGGAATGGAGATGCGTGTCCAACCAGTCTTAAGACTGACTACTTTGATGATGATGACACTGATTTTGAGATCATTGGCAAAGCAGTTAAACAGTTTAAAGAAAAAATAAAATATCGGGATGTTTCCAGAAGGTTCCAGAAAGTAAACAAAAAAGTACTTAAAGGAAGAGACGATCGCCAAAAGGAGAAGAAATAAATTGGCCATTGCAGAAGTGAATCCAGAAATAAATTGACAGTGAAATAAATAGCGCAGTGAATAGTGATATATCAACAATAGTGTAAATAAACAGTTTTTGTCGTTATCAGTCTTGGAAGTTAATTTTGTTAAACCCACGAACATAACAATACCTTCTACGATGGCGTTACTTATTTCTCAAATATCTTGGCTCACTTCTCCGCGACTTTTCCACCGAATAGGACTGCCTTTTTCGCTCTTTACTCAGGTGATATTCACCTACGAAGCTTCTGTTGCTTCGACGTCCCCGATATGGATGTGGTTCCTTGTAGTTTTAGAAACCATGACTCGCAGTACTTTTCCATCCCAATCTGTGATCGGCTGGCAAATATTTTTCTGTCATTTTGAAAATTAATCTTTTTCTTCACTTAAACTGTAACTTTTCATTTGGGAGAGTTGGGGGTGAATCCCACGCCTGATATGTTAGGATATGTCTGTAATGACGCATGTTTCGAATGTCCAAACACCGCCGATCTTGCGAGTGCTGTCCTCGACGATAAAATCCCCTGCTCCTTCGTGTCTCGTGCATCTTTTAGGACTACAGGAATTTTCCGTTACGCTCGACATTTCATAGAGGCTTTGATAAATGAGGAAAATATGCCATACTTTTACAAATAGTAGGACATTTTTTTTTCGTTCACAACTAATTAAGGACGGTTTTTCTATTCAAACTGGTTGTCATACACAAAGAAGTGGAAATTATAATCTATTAAAATTTTTACTTTTAGAATGGACAAATAGTATTTTTTCATATAGAAGATTGGACTGTTCTGACCACATATACTCACTCAGTTGGAATTTCACAAATTTTTTCTGATCCGACGGGCACAAAGATTGTGATTATAGATTTACAATCGCTTGGATATTTTTATAATGCTGTAAGTAAGAAATTTATGTGACCAATCCGCTTTTGAAATGAATATATAAAATTTTAAGGTAAATGGAAACTTTATGTCGATACCAGATTGGCCATCTAAAACATTAGGAGTTGTTTGGGACAGCAGTTTACTAGATAAAAATGTTTTCATTATTTTTGACGAAAACAGCATCTTTCCGTATATTTTTCAGAGGTTCTCAATTAACGGTAAGTATTAGAATTAATAATATAAGCTACAATTAGCATTAGCTGAAACATAAATAGATAGAGATAAATATATTGGGAACTGTTCTTTATATATGAACGTTTCTGCTTTACCGTTCGAGGTAATTTTATTTTGTGTTATTTAAACATTTGCATTAATATACAGTCTCGTTTATAGTCAATAATATTCAGTCCACAGATTTTTGGTGATTTTTGAAATATAAAATGTTATAATACTCTTGGCTTTTAAAACAAAAAAGAAACATTAAAAATCAGTTTAACTGCGCCCTGGCAAATTATAAATAGCGTGCAGATGATATCAGATTCTAATAACGATCATTGCTTATTCTTTAGTTTTCTTAAAGTAGTGATAACGTGTTATTTATACGTGTTTTGTTAAGTGAAGTGAAGTATAAATTATTTGACGAAAGTGGATTGGAAATAGACAACCGTATGCAATTTAATGTATATTTAAAATACATTACCTAGTTTCCACTTATCATTACGTTTATTTGTTTTTTTAATCAGTTTAAATTTGATGTTCTAATTTCGACGGTCACGATAAACTTCTAATACAGAATATTAATCAAGTTACTCTTAATGTACTGTTCTTATTTATTTATAGAATTTTGTATTCTTTTCATTAAACATGAAAATATTGGAAAAGAATGTTTCCTCAATGGCGGGTAACTAGTTTCGGCCTAGCGGCATGAGCACCTCGTTTACATAATCTGACAACAATGAATCTTTATATGTGGGGTTATGTAAAAGAATTGGTATACACGTCGCCTATTGCCACAGCGAATAAATTACGAATTAGTATTACCAATGCTTTTCGTACAATTAAAGCTACTCCAGGTATCTGGGACGAAATCTAAAATTAAAATAAATAAGTCCAGTTTGAGTGAAAACCGCTATTAGATTAATTACTCCATAATTCAGTTCTTTCATGCACATCTACATATTTCGAATTATATGTACGTATTCTAACTCTTGGTGACGTTATGTGACCTCAAAGGTGGCATGGGACGATTAGTGGTTGATGTTGTTGGCGATGGATGGATTGTGACGGTTTGTAGCTCGTACCGTCGGGTCTTGCCTCTCGCTTGCATAGTGTATCGCAGTTGCGAGAGGATCGCATGGCGTAGGAGAGATTTACACCTGTTTTCCTCTTATATTTGTATATTCAGCACAACCACTGTCAAATCAACTTATGATGAAAGACTTAAACTAACGACAAATAAATAACAATAGACATACAACACAAATTATTAGGTAGGAATCGCGAGTCACCAAAAGAGACCAAGTTAAAGGGTCGTACCTTTACCGTTCATTAACTTCCGGAAGGAAATTATACGCTGTATGAGAATCCAGTGGTTCGCCCTATAAGCGGGGATTTCGGTACAGGGTTTTAATCGTCAATCCAACGCCAGTCTATGATGTACCCGACGATTCCCGAACCTTATGAACCAATTAATCACCTCTTCGTGCCCGCTTCGAGGATCTCACTTAATCTACCTCGTGGACTTCTCTTCTTCTCCCCTTTCCTTATTTAGCTTTGCTCTTTATAGGACCCCACATAGTGTTTCTTTTGGTCATCGTCACATTGAACCCCCAGAATTTTGTCTCGTCCGACTGCGATTCCATTATATTGTAAACGGGAAGCCATCGGTAATTAATCCATTTAGATCGTTATTATTTGAATAAGGGCTATACAAGGAAAGTTGTAGTGTCATGAAGGAGTAAGCTGTAGTCATCTACGGAAGTCGGCGGATCGCATTTCCCCATCAAATTTTCCCGTGGGCTCCGTGCATGGTCAGTCCGATTTCCTGGTGTATAACCGGGTAAGATGAACAATGTCCTACCCCATACAAGCTCTTAATTATTACGTACACACAGCTTCCAAGTGAATTATCTCCAAACAAATAAAATGCTTGCTCAATAAGGTAGATAAATAATAACAATTATTATGCCATATGTGATTTTCTTTCCTTGCATACTAGTATTTTTATTTTACTTTTATTTATCTTCAGACAATACTCTTTTTTCAATACCGCTTCTATTTTATCAGTAATTCCACCTTGCCATATGCTAATATTGCTTATTATCTGCAAATCTAAGCATACTCATCTTTTGCCCCTGTATATCTATCCCTACAGTTGTACTGTCTTTAATTAGTATATATATATATTAAAAAGTGACGGTGACAATGTGCATCCCTGTCTGACTCCCTTCCTAATATTTACTACTCTACGTTGCAGCCCCAGCTCTATAACTGCCTGTTGCTTTTTATACAAACTAAGTATAACTGCTCTATCTATGTAGCTCATCCGTACATTTCGTCCCACTTAACATTGTCAAAAGCTTTTTCTATATCTGCAAGCCCTATGTACGTTCCCTTTCTTTTTTCTATCGTTTTCTCTATTATTACCCGTAAAACTACAACGGCCTACCGCGTTCCTCTATTTCTTATAAACCCAAATTAATCTTCCCTTAGTAGTTCTCCCGCCCTTTTTTCCATCTTCCTCTAATTTCTTTTTTGTAAATTTTCCAACGAACGCAAGAGCTTGAAAAATATTGTTTATCTACAGGCTGTCCCAAGAAAACTGGTTTCTTCAATAAGTGCTTTACAATTGAAGATATCAAAAAAGTTTCTGACAAAAGTGGTACCATACCTAAAATTATTTGCGATTATACAGTGTACCATTTTTCCTGGAGGCAACCTAACTTTATTTTTTCAAATGGAATGCCGCATTTATTATTGCATTTTTGAATTCCTCGTTAAATTTAAATACTACTTTGTTAGCCATATGCATCAATTTCCATAAAATTCGCACTAAATCAAGAAATAGTCTGTTGCAGTTGCAATTTTGAATATCTTAAAAAAGGAAATCATACAGAGTTGTGCTATTTTCACACATAAGGAAGAAACGGCCTACTATTTTCACTATTAACGCAAACATGATCTTTTCAATTTCATTGAATCTACCACTTACAAAATAAATTGTTTCGAACTGACATAACTATTTGTTTTTAATGGAATGCCATATTTTTTATCAGATCATCATGTGCAAAATTTTTCCTTTCGTACAATATAAGGTTGTTACTATCTACGATTAACACTTTTTGAGAAAATTAAACTTCTTTATAATACCAATTTATATTAGAATATCAAGAATGCCTTGGTTGGCGATTCGCTTTTATCCACCCTTGTTTCCTACGAACGTCAATTCCGTGTGCTTAAGAAGGTGTTAAGTAATCATTCATTTTTTACATACTACCTAACTATGGCTTTGAGTGAAGTTAAAAAGGCAGATACAGATGTTCTTTCCTTCCATACATATAATCGTAGGGTACTTTCTAGGTGCAGATTTCACTGTTCCGCTAGTAACAAACCACTGTAGTAGCCTACTCGAGAATTATATCTGTTTGGGTATCGTTAAGCATACACTCAAGGTGCCATCCGTGGATTTCGCCTGCATTCCACAGGGGCAAAAACCATATCTATCTTTTCATCTTGACTGAAAGCCATAGACTACACAGTTCAGAACAGCGTATAAAACCAAACGTTACTTAGCACCTTATCAAGCACACGGAACTGACGTTAGTAGGAAACAAAGGTGGATAAAAGCAAATCGACCACCAAAACATACCTGATATCCTGATATAAATTGGTGTTATAAAAAAGTTTAATTTTCTCAAAAAGTATTAGTCGTAGATAGTAATATCCTTATATTGGACGAAAGGAAATAAAATTTTTGCACCTGATGAGCTTGAAATTGTTATGCCAGTTCGAAACAATTTATAGTAGTAGATTTCAATGAATTTGAAAAGAACATGTTTGCGTTAATAGTGGAAAAAGTAGATCCATTTCACCCACAAGCTATGTGTGAAAATATCACACCTATACATGCTTTCGTTTCGGATATATTCAAAAAGGCGCCCAGCACTGCTATAGCCTATTTATTGATTTAGTTCGAATTTAATGATAACTGATAATGTTAGATGTCATTAAACCAGAAACAGAGCCTCCCCTAGCCGTGAGCCCTACGGTAGCAGTCAGACAAAAAGGTAAAATAAGGATTTGTATAGATCCATCAGATGTAAACAAGAATATTCTGAGACGTCACTTTCCACTCACCACCATAGAAAAGATTTCAGCTGACATCAAAGATTCTAGACAATTTGAAATTCTAGATTACAAAAGCATTTTGGAAAATTATGCTATCAGAAAGAACACAAAAAATATTAACGTTTGCTACCGCATGGGGAACATACTCCTTCAAGAGACTCCCGTTTGGTATATCATAAGCACCTGAAATATTGCAAGAAATCTTAACAAACCTACTCTGAAAATTTAAAAACGTGAGAGTATCCATAGATGATATATTTATATATGCAAAAATAGAGAAGAACTATTCAATACTGTTCGTGAAGTAATCGAAGTACTAAACAAAGCAAGTTTCAAACTGAACAAAAATAAGTGCATAATGGAGGCACAGAGAATAAAATTCATAGGACACATTTTTTCAGCTAAAGGACTAGAAGCAGATCCAGAGAAAGTAGAAGCCATACAAGGAATGAAAGCACCAACAAATAAAACAAAGCTACAGACATACAAGGAATGAAAGCACCAACAAATAAAACAAAGCTACAGAAACTACTAGGGATGATTACATACCTCAATAAATTTATCCTCAACATGTCAGACTTAACAAACCCACTAAGAGATTTGTTACATAAAAATACAAGTTTTATATAGGAAATTCATCACAAAGAAGCGCACAACAAAGTAAGTATTTCAAAGCCCACCAGTACTTACTGAGACTATACGATGTAAACAAACTTGTAACCTTAACTGTGGACGCAAGTTCAAAAAATCTTGGAGTCGCACTTCTTCAAAAAGAACAACTAATAGCCTACGGGGTAAGAGCGCTGTCAAAATCTGAATAAAACTATTCACAGATAGAGAAAGACGCACTTACTATACTGTTTGGTTGTAAGAGGTTCCATGTGTATGTTTATAGTAAAAAAACTGATAGTGGAATTAGGCCACAAACCACTCGAGACAATTTTCAAGAAAGACATACAATCCGCTCCAGCGAGGTCATAACGCATAATGTTTAACCTTACACCATACTCACCAAAGGTAATATTGAGAAAAGGCACAGAAATACCCTTAACAGATCTTCTTAGTCGTGACTGTGATGCATATGACCTAAATACGAACAGGAAGAAAACCTAAAAGTGGCTGTAGTGCTGCCCATCTCCCTACAGAATTACAACATTATTTTAACTTTAAAGAATAACTAAGCTATTTCAAAGGAATGTTAAAGAGCTTTCATCATGGACATCTAATGTTACAAAGCTACTTAAGAAGAGCTCGACATTAGTAAAAAGGTGCTCCGTCTGCGAACAAACCCAAAGAGACAATTTTAAATATACAGTTGCAATCAAAAACATTCCTGCATTCCCATAGTAATCTGCGACAGTTACTCTGGATATTTAGATTTTCAACAGCTAAAAGGTCAGTCGTCATACGAAGTAATTGAATAACTTAAAAGATGGTTTTCGGTACATGGAGTACCAGAAAAGTTACAAACTGACAATGGAACACAATACATGTCCAGTGAATTCAAGATCTTTCAAAAAGGGGGGAGATTCAACCACGTCACATCTAGTCCACATCATCATCAAGGCAACGGGCTTGCTGAAAGAGTAAAAAACATACTAAAAAAATGCAGCGTTGACAAGTCGGATATTCAACTCGCTTTATTAAATTGGAGAAATACATCACGAAATTATCATTTAGATGCACCTAATCAACGTCTATTCATCAGAATTATCATAATTGCATTACCCTCCAATGACGATAATTTAAAACCGAAAATAATGCAAGGGGTTACAGCTGAACTACAGCGATTAAAATAGAAACAAGTCAACTACAGTAATAATGATACTACAAGACCCGAAAATTTTGAAATCAACGATAAAGTTAGACACAAAGTGGCTCATCGATATCGGGAAGGAGCAATGTAGAAGGAAAGCCCGAAGGTTTACCGAGATCAGTAATAATTAAAACTGATGTAGGTCAAATCTTGCGTAGAAATTTCAGTCATCTGCATAAGACCCAATCAAACATAACCAGCAACAATACCTGAAACCACATACACAGACGACCTAGCAATATAACAGGTTCTAGCATAAGTGCTATCACCTGTTGCTTCTAAGTCACCATCAGCATCGACACGTACATCACCGAGCACGAACAATCAGGTGCAGAACTCATACCTAGCTCAACTAGATACAGCATCCCGATCATCAAGATTTGGTAGGATAATTAAACCAATAGATAGACTCAGTCTTTAATAATTCTTAAACGGAAAATTGCAGTAGGCTGCTCTGTGTAATGCATCCTGGCATGTGCCTATAATATAACTTGTGCAGTAAGCCCAAAGAAAATTAATACTATAAGTTTCATAGTAATTAGAATATTAATAATAATAATAATTAGATTTTTGGGTAATCTGAGTTAGGTACATGAATCGAATACAATAAAATAATTTGTTGTGTATTACAGTTAATACCCATATAATATATATGAATATATGTATACGTTTATTTATAAAGAAAGGAAGATGTGAAGTATAGACATCTAAGGTCTATTAGCTGTACTGTACTAGTTTAAAATATAGTATATATATATATATACATTGTAAAGCTGCGGAGCAAGCCAAATAAACGACAATCATTTCTTATCAAACAATTAACATTTTGTTCATGAAACCCGACGTTACATTTTCAATAATCAATTTATTTACATTTTAGGACCAACAATACAAAAAATTAATGAAAAGTTCACACTCCTTTCAAATCAGTTGCCTTTACTTATGTATTCTGGTGATATAGTACTAGCAGCGAATAATGGTCGCCTACTTACTTTACCAATGAATCCTTCCGATGAAAGTAGTACGAAGCAATTAGAAAGAAAGGATTTGGAGCATACTATAAATCGACACTTAATCTTTGAAAGGTAGGTAATTAGTAAGGCACGAATTTTTAGAAAGCTGGTGTAAAAAATATAGTTGCAAATTAAGTCGCAGAATCTATCTTATGACTTCGTTTAGATTATGTCTGCTTTACTTCAACTTTTTCTGTGGTTTCCTTGGATTATGTAAACAAATGAAGAGGGAAACAGAATTTAATTTTTTTTTAATGTCTTCATCTCGTCCACCTAATCTTCCTTCCCTAACCACCACTGGCCATAAGTCGATGGAACGTCCACCCTATAACATCAGTTAATATAATAAAGTTTAGTTTTCTGTACATATTTGTTATGTAATATAATTTACTCATATCATTTGCACAGTGCCCGCTAATTTATTTGTGTTAATAGGTCTTTATGTGAAGTAGTTGGGCCTGTTCCGCTTTAATGCAGCAAAAAAAAGGATTGAAAGAAATAGCAATATAACACTTATAAATATATGCAGGCTTTCGCGGCTGTTACCTCTTAAATGTATTTTTGAGCTCGGCTTTTCTGACCGTTGTCTTTGGGAATCTCACTTAATTGCAGTTTAATGCGACAAAATATTGATAACTTATAATTTTATTCATTCAAATCCTGATAAATACCATTAACATACCGTCCAATTCCTCAGTATATCCATGAACAGTATTTATTTCTAATTTTTGATAAGCGCCTTACAAGGATATCTGCTCGTCAAATCTTTTTATTGACAGTACATGTTCCTATAAGCGTTTTCTTGAGGAACGACCTGTCTGCTTGCAATTTTTACAAGGTACTTATTTACATTATTTATAAATACCTGATCTATCTAATATATGTCTGCTTTTTCTATATTATCTATTGACAGGGGATAGTTTTAAATTATTTTTTTAAAACAAATTATATTTATCAAGCCTATAACGAATGTTACAATTTAGTTATAATTGATTGCGGGTAATGTTTAATGCTATTAACTAAATTAATATTTTCATAAGTATTTACAATTAAAAACACCTTAAGCTTTTTAGACTTAGTGCTATTCTTACATTCGTTACATTATATTTCTTTATTCCTTTGTTCAGTTCAACTTTATAACATTTCTTCAAATATTTCTTATACTAGACTCATTATTAGCAATTAGTTGTTAGTTAATATGCATGGAACCTTCATATTAAACGTTTCAAGAACACAAATTCTCCACTAGTCTTATTTGAGAATTCCCAGTGATCTCCGGATAATTTTTTAATTTACAACTGCATAGATCGTATCTACAGATATACCAAAAAATTCAAATTATGCAGTCACGCTTGTGTGTTATTGTAAATCGAGTTTACATACCAAAAAATAGCAATAAGGATATCAAGCCAATAAAGGCAAGCAACTCCTATTCTTCTGAGACATCAAAATGGCCACCAGAGAAATTCCCAAGTATTTAAGTCGCTTTTTGTTTCCTTTTTTATCCTTGTTTTCTCGCGAGTTAAGTAATCTACAAATCATCATCATTGCTGAATCACAAGCCAAAATCTTCAGTGATCCATAAGGTGATTGAAAAGCGCGCTTACAAAGTTTCAAAAATCAATAGCAGAGTGTAAAAAATCTAAATAGATTCCCGTGCTCAATGCACAGCTAAGTCGCATAATGAAGACTAGTGATGATTTTGGTAATGTTAAAACAGAAATTGAATTGGCGGAAATCGAAAATATTATAATCGAAACAAGAACAAGAACGGCAAGAATTTGAAATAAATTGGTACCGATGTGTTGGGACAGCAAGACAACCTTTAAATCGCTACCAGGACTTGTCCTCAAATTCAACGTCACGTTAATTAGCTGATTATAGTTCATCCCCATCTACAACACAGGATGTTAATGTTAATTGTAGGTTACCGAAGATCGAACTGCCTACATTCGATATTACGACAAATGACTCAGTTTTCGTAATTCATTTATTTTTATGATTGATAAAAATTCAGCACATCCAACTATACAAAAACTACATAATTTACGTTCCTGTGTTAAAGCAAAGGCTGCAGATATTATTCATTCATTAGAGTTACTGGTACCCTTAACGACGATCGTTGTATTGTTACTCTAACTGCTTTTGCCGTTGGTTTCCTGGTAACCAGTTTCGGTTGGGTTTTACTGCTAATGTCTTTCTGATAATGTTACCTGATAATCCTACTGTTTCAGTTCTTAGATTTATAATTTTGGTAGTATGTACATTCTCAGGATTTTGATTATGAAGTGGCCGCTGAACCTTATCCTTCGGTCTGATCGAGTTGTTGCTGGAACGATTTGGTTGGGCTGTTCAGACGATGCTGAAGTTTGTGTTATCACCGTATCATCATGATTGCTCGGCAGAATATAGGCTGGTATCACCCGATCCACAGAGATGACCACATCCTTTCCTGTGATGTATGCCGTGAAAGTTTTCGCTGTTCTTGGTGTCAAAAACTCCCCTGGCAGTCGTAGTGGTTGTCCATAGGTTACTTCGGCAGATGTACCATTAATGTCTTCTTTCCATGCGGCCCTGATTCCCAGCAAAACGGTAGGAAGTACTTCGGTCCAACGCTCGCTGCTGTGACACTTAATTGCCGCTTTAAGTTGTCTATGGAGTGTTTCTACCATAACATTCGCTTGGGGATGATATGCGATGGTGTGAAGGTGATATATCCCAACCATACTAGTGAGATGTCCGAAAAGGGTTGTCATAAATTGGCGCCCTTGGTCGGTTGTTACACGCAATGGAACTCCAAAACGGCAAATCCAATTTTCGTAGAATGCTCTCGCTACGGTTTCTGCTGTTTGGTCTTCCGGCCATCTTGAAAAACGATCCATCACGTGAGACAATACCTTTTCCCTTCGGAAATGGGAATTACAATAATATCGACATGTACGTGGTCGAATCTTGCTGACGGGTTTGAAAACGATGAAAGCGTCGCTGAAACGTGTCGTGAAATTTTTGAACGTTGGCATGGGATACAGATTCTGGTCCACTCGCGACTGTCTTTCCTTATTGATGGCCAGACAAATCGTTGAGTCATTAGGGTCACAGTAGTTTTTGCACCAGGGTGTGCAAGATCATGGATTGAATGGAATGCTGCTCGACGAAACTTAGATGTTAAAAACGGGCGTGCCACTGCTGCAGAAACGTCGCAATAAATGGTCGCACCTGTGCCGGGAATCTCTACTTTCTTGAGCTTCAAACTGGAATTTGAATGAAGAAATGATTGCAAATCCACGTCACCCTTTTGATCCTTAGCCAGGGCTATAAAGGTGAGGGATGTAGTCACTTCTTCGATACGCGAAAGTGTGACCGCGACAACATTTTTCAATCCGGATATATGACGTATATCCGTATTAAACTGGCTAATCAAATCTAGATGGCGAATTTGACGGGGGGTTGTTTAATTGCTTTGTAAATGACTAAAAGTTCTCAATCTTTGGGAAAAAAACGCTAGTGGTTTCCAATGGCTGTTGACCTTTTGCTGCAGGGCTGCACCTACGGCAGTGTCTGAAGCATCGCACGTAAGAACAAGAAGTGCGTTGGGTGTCGGATGCACTAGGAGTGCGGCCTGTGATACGCTAACCTTACAGGTGGTAAAGGCTTCTTCGGCTATTTCTGTCCAGGTGATCGGCATTTTTCCCTTGGCGTTATTGTTCAAAAGGTTGGTTAGAACGGCTTGTTGATCTGCTGCTATTGTTTTACTGTCTCTGGCTTTCGCAAATCGGTGATGGCTTGTACTTTCTCAGGTAATGGTCTAGTACCATTGCTTGTGATCAAGTATCCTAGAAACTTTACCTCTGTCTTACCGAAAGTGCATTTTGACGCATTTATTACAATCCCAAATTGTTGTAGACGTTCAAAAAGTACTTTTAAATGTTCTTCGTGTTCCTCGGGTGATTCGGATGCAACGAATATGTCATCGATGTATGCAAATGAAAAATATAATCCTCGCAGCCACAGGGATCTGGTTGTATGCCCGAACGAGCTCGATTTTCGAAAAAATTTTCTTGCCATTGAGCGTATGTGCTACATCGTGGATGTACCTTACTGGATAACGGTCTGGTATTGTCCGTGCATTTAGTCCACGATAATCACCACAGGGCCTCCATTGCTTGTCTTGCTCGGGCACTAAGTGTAACGGCGAGGACCAACAGCTATCAGATGGACGTGCGATCCCCTGCTGTAACATTGTTTCGAATTCTTTCCTTGCTATCTCTAGGCGTCGTGATTCGAGTCGTCGTGGTCGATGGAAGACTGGTGGTCCGGGGCTTGTTCGGATGTGGTGAACGGTGTTATGTTTGACTTCCTGTATTTGACTGTTGGGTCGAGTAAAGTTGGGAAATTGTCGAAGCAATTTATGAAAAGGTGAAGTACCCGTAACTATCTTGATGATTTCGATGTTACAATTGACCACTTCTCTATGTGATGTCAGCTTTGTGAGAGGGTCGATAAGGCATCTACGAGAAGTCCAAAGTCAGCTAGAAAGTCTGCTCCTATGATGGCTTTTGGTATCTCGGCGATAACAAACAACCAAATAAATACACGCCGCAATCCCAAATTTAGCGATAGTTTGATCGTACCATAAGTTGGAAAGATGGTTCCATTTGCGGCTATCAACTCATATTTCGATCTTTTGCATATACCATGAACAAATGAACGTGGATATATGCACAGATCGGCGCTAGTATCGATTAAAAATTGAATTTTTGTAGTTTTATCGGCTACAAAGAAACGGCTCGGGAGGTTTTGACTGTCGCTTGCCGCCATTAGCGACCTCCTGTCCCGTTTCTCTGTTGGTTTCCGGTACACGGTGGTTGACATTTTCTGGCTTGAGTACCGAATTTTCAATGGTACCAACAGAGTCCGTTAGATGCGTGCCCCATATCTTTTGAATTAGATCGTCTCCCAGAACGAGATTGGGGATGTGGGGATTTATCCCGACTGCGTTGCCTTTCGAGAACAGTGATGGCGTCGATTTATCTTCGTAGTGCTGATAATTGTTCTGCCACTTGCTGTTGTATACTTAAATGCAATTTTGCAAGCGTTATCTCCTTATGTTTCGTTGGTTACGCTATTGAGTGTACTCTCGGTTTTAGTTACCAAATGGGGTTGTGATTGTGTTGGTAACCGACTCAGCCATATTGTTCGCAAAACAGGATCGTCTACGATGTTGCTGGCTAACATCCGTAAATGCCTTAAGAATTGGGCGGGCTTCCTGTCTCCGATAACTGCATGCTCCAAGAGTTTTCGGGTCTTCTGTTCTTGGGACTGGCTAAGGCGTTTACTAGTTCCTTTTTCAAAAAGTCATAGGCATTTTCGCGTGGTGGGTTCATCACGATATCGCGGACTTCACCTAGATACTTTGTCCCTAAGGAGCCGAGTACATAACTGAATTTGGCTTCGTCGTTATCTCCAGTTCTCAACGTCCTTTCCAAAAATACAAAGAAATATTCCGGGTCATTAGGAGTAAACTCAGGAATACGTAGTCCTATCCGCTCGACCCCTGATACTGTTGTAGGCTGCCGGTGTGGTGCTCCTGTGGGAAATGTTGCTTCCTGAAGTTGCGAGTGATGATTCTGTTGGTTTTGGTGAGGTTGCCATTCCTGACGCAACCGTTCCAATTCCCGTCGTTCCTGTTCCATTTTCAGTTGCTGCTGTTCGAGCTGGCATCGTTGTTGCTCCAACTGATTTAGAATTTCTGTGTCTGTACGAATATTCACCAATGTTGTTGAGGAATGTAACGTTCGTCGAAATTGTTACGGATGATCCAAAATTACTCACGTCGGATCACCACTTGTCGGTTTTTGTTGAAAATAATAAAAAGATATAATAGTCCGACACAAATAAAAACAGTATAATTTGTATCACACTAATACACCGGACAAAACACATAAAACGAACTATAAAAGAAGATCACACCACAAAATTAAGACAAACAATAAATATAAATAAATAGTCAATAGCATGTATAACAGAAAGAAAGATCAAGACTTACTACCCTCACAAAATTTCCGTTTATATATTGTACTTCCTGCAATTCTCGGTACCCTTAACGACGATCGTTGTATTGTTACCGTAACTGCTTTCGCCGTTGGCTTCCTGGTGACCAGTTTCGGTTGGGTTTTACTGCTAATGTTTTTCTGAGAATGTTACCTGATAATCGTTCTGTTTCAGTTCTTAGATTTATAATTTTGGTAGTATGTACATTCCCAGGATTTTGATTATGAGCTAGCCGCTACAGATGATTTGATTTCTGGAGCAGAAAAATATGAAGAAGTTGTGGTAGTACGTGGCAAATTAAGACTAAGGGAAACTAATCTAAGAAAATGGTCATGTAACAATGCAAGATTAATAGAATCATTACCAAAAACAGATTTTAATAACAAGTTATTACTACACGACAGCGGTAAAAGCAGTACGTATTCACTGGAGTTCAAAAACTGGTGACATTATCTATACAGTGAATAATTGCGAGTTCACTAGGAATCAAGTTATTAAATGAAAGATTCTTATATTGCTAGAATATTCGATCCGATTGGTCTGCTACGTCCCGCAATTGTTCAGACAAAAATCATCATGCAGCACCTGTGGCAGGGCTTTTCCTTAATCACATCGAGGTCTCTTGTCACATCCTTGAAGACGATGTCGCTTTCTCACCCTGAGCTCTTTGCAGCTGTTCTTTTAGTCCGTACTGATTGAAAATTTATACATTTTCTTGAACGAATACATCTTTCAAGATTCAAGGACAAGTTTATTATCAAATAAATACAAGCTTTCAGCCACAAGTAGATCACTCTCCACAGTATGGTTTGGTTAATAATTTTTTGTTGATTCAAATAAAGCAGCAAGTAATCATTTGAGCAGGAATTCAGATCTTGGTTTTGATATTCTACGAGATATTCATCGATTTAGGTATGAGTAACTGTAATATATTTGCTCAATCTTATCAAATGATGCACGAAGAAATAGAGACAGGAAGAGTTAGCATTATAAAATAATAAGATCCATAATACATCAAAAGTTGAATTACTAGTTACACACCAACCTGGCATAGATCGCAGAAGATTTAATTTACTGCAAGTTATGTTACAAGTTCGATCCCGAGTGAAATAAACTCGCGCTCTTGATCGCTAAATAAACTGTACATCTATATGTTTTTGCTACCTACTCATTTATAACTTTATATATCAATGTTTTACAAATACAGAATATATATTCATATGTTGAATGTCTTTTTACGCTTAAATGTTAAAATAAATGTCTTTTTAATTATATTTACTGGATTTTTAATCAGTAGAAAAGGGTAGAAATAAATTGACCGATGCAGAAGTGATTCAAAAAATAAATTGACAGTGATAGAAATGAAATAAATAGCACAGTGAATAGTGATATATCAACACTAGTGTAAATAAATAGAATAATTACCTAAGTTTAGTAATAATTTAATAGTGTTTTTAAGTTCAATAATAATTAGTGTAAATAAATAGTTTTCGTCTTAGAAGTTAAATTTTGTTAAACCCACGAACATTACAATACTCTAATCAATCATCCTAATTAGCGTGACGTGCGTATTTGGCGGAAAGATTTGAATCTAACACTTAAACTATACAATTGTCTTCGATTGGCGAAGGAGCGAGTTGCTTCACACTTCTTTTCACTNTAAAAATAAATATTAAAGATCTATTTAAATAAGTATTCCAAATACTGTTATTTCAAGTACACAGAAAGTATGCTCATTTTAGTGGACACGAGATTTTATGTGACTTTTGACGCAACTTTTAGAATACCAAAATACAGGTTTGTAGAAATTTACAGCCTATTTAACTCTATGAAATGCTATTTATTTATATATGAATTTAAGTTAATATTGTTTTGAATTTAGAAATTAGAAGTACATATTCATTGTAAGTTTAACTGTAGGCGAACAGATTAGTTGAACTGTAAACATTTTTCTTTTTAGATTTGCTGTTGCCTTTAACCTTTGTTACCTGCTACAGTCGGTAAATATGTGGGTAAAATTAGCAGAGGAAGCACTAAAGCATCTTGAAGTAAATATAGGTATATAATGGCTAAAATTAATAGTTTGAATATAAAATGTACTTCTTTTCTATTATTTCTAGCATTATTAGCCTACAAGGAGTTGAGAAATGTCGCGATGGTGTATTCTTTGGAACAAATTACAAATATCGAAGATACTAATTTATTAGCTGGATACTGCTCTATGTATCTCAAAGATTATAGTAAGGCCCAAAAATGGTTTCTAAACTCCCACTATCCTCAAGCATCTTTACAAATGCAAAGAGATTTACTTCAATGGGATCATGCACTGGAACTTTCAAAAAAACTTGCACCTGATCAACTCCCATTTATTTCAAGGGAGTATGCTCACCAATTAGAATCCATGTAAGAACAGATATCCTTATATTGTACAACATATACATATATAGAACTTCTTTGGCTTGGAAAGTGTGGGAGCTTTCTACTTTCTAAGAAAAAATTGTTATTACTAATATAAAATAAAAACAGCTTGGATTTTTGTTACTAACGCATCAATGGGAAATTTAATAAACACTATGTCTAATCAGTATTCCGGAAAAATTAAAGCAGAAGAAGGTACATGAAAGTACAAAAAGAATTAGTATGAATCATTTCGTACCACTCAGTGATACTGTGTCTGTGTGCATGTTCTTGCAGTTAATCCGTTATTCCAATTAATCGGTTAAAAGCAGATGATAATCGATTAATAATTAAATAATCGTTTATCATTTATGACTGGAAATAGTAGATTGTTAAGTTTATTCCCATTAATCGATTATTTTAAATGAAAACTGAAGATAATCGATTAATCGGATAATTTGCTTAACCCTAGAGAGTAATGTACGTCGTGAGGGGGCCAAATAGTACCCAGTGCCGCGCAGTAAACTAGAGATAGCAGCAGTAACTCGAAGCGAATAGGTCTAAGATACGTCGTGCTTCGCCTTTAAAGTAATTCTTTTACGATCGCTATTTTTACTAATCCATTTACTTGAGTTCATGTACATTCCTTTGTTATGCCAAAACATACCTATCTACCTACCTGATTTTTATTGGCTTTTAACTCCAATCTTAGCTGATAGTCTTATGTGCTCCACCAATCAAACTCATCTTCATCATAAGGTCGTCAGTCCTAAGAGTGGTTGGACACGCACCTCCACTCTTCCCTATCCTGAGCTAATATTCGCATTTCCCTAAAACTAGAAAAGCCCACATCCTTAGCTATTTGCGAACAGTAATCTAATCTAATTTCTACCCCTCCTAACTCCTGTTTCTGCCTCTAATATGTCTCTGACTAGACCTTCATGTCTGAGAAGGTGTCCTAGCAACCTATCTCCCCTATTTCTTATTGACTTCCATAGAGTCCTCTGTTCTCCTATTCTTTCCAATACTTCTTCATTTCTAACCTTTTCTACCCACGATATCCTCATCATCCGCCTATAACACCACATTTCGAACGCTTCTAACCTTTTCTTTTCCGCTGCGCCCACTATTCATGTTTCGCACCCGTACAACGCCGTGTTCCAAACATACACCTTTAACAACCATCTTGCTAGATGCTAATACTGCTATATCATCTGCAAATCTAAGCATACTAATCTTTTGCCCTTGCACATCTATCCGTACAGTTGTACTGTCTTTAATGATGTTAATCACGTCTTCGATGTATAGATTAAAAAGTAGCGGTGACAGTGTGCATCCCTGTCTGACTCCCTTCCTAATATTTATTTCTCTACGGTGCAGCCCCAGCTCTATAATTGCCTGTTGCTCTTTATACAAACTAAGTTTCACTATTCTATATTTGTAACTCATCTCTACATTTTTAAGTATATTTAACATCTTGTCCCATTTAACATTGTCAAAAGCGTTCTCTCTAAATCTACAAATCCTATGTCTTCATAACTACTAAGTTGTGATCACTGTCTATATCTGCTCTTGGATAACTCCTACAGTCCTTCACTTGATTTTTAAATCTTTGCCTAACAAGTATGTAATCTGACTGATATCTCCCTAAATCACCTGGCATCTTCCACGTATAGCGCTTCCTAACGTGATGGTTGAATAAAGTATTCGCGACGGTTAAGTTATGTTTATCGCAAAAGTCTATCAGATTATCTCCCCTATCATTTCTATTGCCTAATCCAAAAGAACCTGCTATTGCACCCACTTTACCTTCACCTATTACTGCGTTGAAATCTCATAAAACTATTAGGTTTTGCTGTCTTTTCACTAAACTTAACACGTGTTCTATATCTGCATAAACTGCTTCTACGTCTTCATCACTATAATATGATGTAGGCATGTAGACTTGCACTAATACCGTTCTTACCGGCTTTGAGTTTAATTTAAGCATAACCATCCTATCGCTTTTTTGTAAATAACTTTCTACACTCTGCCCTACTTTCCTACACATTACAATTCCTACCCCCGAATTACCTTCTACCGATCCTGTATATTTTACTCTAAAGTCTCCACCCCAGATATCTCCACTTCGGGCCAACGGACTTCACTAATACTTAGTTTATCTAAGTCTAATCTGTTCTTCTCTGCTTTAAATTTTCTAATTTCCCTACTTGCCTCATTGTCCTAACTTTCCACGCTCCTACTCGTGTAGCATTGCACCTACCCCTATTGCACTTATTGATGACATCCCCCGAGGTAGTCTCCGCCTAGACATCCGAATGGGGGGCTAGTTTACATCCGGAGTGCTTTACCCCAGAGGACGCCATAATTTAATTTATAGTGAGTTATACGTTGTACTCGGGATCATAATGTGGTGGTTTCCGGTTGCCTTCTACATCGCAGTATTGTGCATCAGAGTGCCATACCGATCCTCGTGATTTCTGCCACCCTGAGTACTGAAAGAGCTGCTGCCCTCTTTCAGGGACTTGTCTTAGTCTGGTTTCTCTTTAAAAACCCCTCCATTATGGTTGAACCTATAGTCCGGCTCCCTAAATCATCGAAAGTCGCTAGCCGATCCACCCACTCTAATTTGTACAAGAGTTTCGTCAAGGTTCAAGCCCCGTCGGATCGGCAATCAAACTAAAAATCAATAATTTCCACCATACGTACTGTAGGCTTTTTCTCTGGTCTAGGGGTTGTTTAATAAAAGGCTCCGAGTGATTGGATAAATATATAATACTATTAATAATGAAGAACAACGAATAGTAAACAGTAAAACGAGTAACAGGAACTAAATATACACAACTTATATACAATGTATCGCGTCTTCCAAAATGAACACGTCTAAAGTAATAACCAAAAATACGTCTTCCGTCTTTGTTTTGGCAAAAATACTCAACGTCTAAGTAAAATATACCGTCTTGAACAAATGTCTTCATACCTTGCTCGTCTTTCTCTCTGCTGCGGTGGTCCCTCACGTACCCCAACATGTACGCATAGGTATTAATAGATTATCGATTTTCCACCACCTAACTGGTATCACTCTTACACCTGGGCAAACAAAAACTGTATATTATATTAAACCAAATTTTACAGTACGTAGACCAAGACGTGACATGTTCAACAGCAGTTGCAATCGTAGCTTCGTTAATGTTAGTTGTGTTTTCGCGAGTGAACATCTTGCTCAACCCTTTTTGCTATTTTATCTATTTTTTCCATTATTATTTGATTCTGTTTTATGTGTGTGTTAAATAATAGTGTTAATTTGTTCTTTTATTTTGCATTTTCGTTAATTTCTATGTGTAAATTAAACTATTTATTTGTTAAGAAGAGCATACCCATGCGCTATTGTCCAAATTTTCAAAATTCAAATCGAAGTAGTTACCGAAATATTCTAATGGGTGTTCACCGAGAGACACCCTTCTTCTAACTCTTATCATCCGTATAGATTACCCAAAACTACATCTATCCGCTTTTTCCTCATTTTCTATCAAAATGATTTCTGATTCGTTTTATAGCTATATTATTATTAATGTGCCCTTTTCCTCAAAAATTGCTTTAAATTATATTACGCTGACTTGCCTAATTTTTCTCCTGTATTTAGTTTTATTGGATAATATGCAGTGAACCGTCATTTATTATTAGTAATGATGCTTGTTAGACTCATTTGCTTCGGGTTAAGTTACTGCTCCTGTCTTGGGTGTCCATCAAGTTACTACATAAGCACTTAACGAAAAAAAGTCTACAAATGCTAATAGACCCTTGTTTAGATTTGAAGTGAAACGACATAGCCGTAACATAGGCGTCGCCCAGTCTTGTGTGTGAGTATCCGCTTTTATTGTGTGCTACTTTTTCCCCGAATCATTTATGAATTTTTATAAATTAGTCTTCCTTTAGAGGTTTTTCACGTTTTTCTTGGTAAAAGTAGCTTTGACTGAGATGTTTCAAATGTTATTTTTAAGGTTTTGCAATTTTTAACATATTATATTGGGCCATTACGATGACTGATAGTTTTAGAGATAAATGCGAACCACGACACAAAATTGTAAACTGCAATGTTTAATCCGCGATCACTTGCGTTCTTAGATCCTACAATAAAAGCCCCAACATTGGTCTAAGAATGCCCGTTCCTTCTATCTTTGTATCCCTGCTCATATTGGGTTTTGCCTGCCACTGTCGACAGCTTTTGTTTTAGTAACTTTCAGACGGGCGCTTCAAAAAAGTTGAATGAAATCTAATGTGCGAACGAAATCTAATGTGCGACTTATTACGTAGATGTTTCAGTACGAAGTTGTTAGAATGTATCTATCTATCTTGAAGTTGCATTTTTTAAAATGTCGTACGAAAACATATTAGAAGCACCATTAACTCTTTGGAAAAAAAGCTCTTCTTTTTTAAACAATAGAATGTAATGTCTAAGATGATTGCTGAAGCATGAAGACATTCTTCGAATTCCTAAAAGTATTATTCCAAAATTATCGGGAGTATAAAATGCTGTTAACAATGCCAAAACATGTATGCATTGCTAGATTTTACTTTTTCCAGATGATTTTTTTATTGGCCTTATCGTTTATCTATCAACGGGACAGAGATTGTTTGTTAATACAAGCGATTGACTTTAATCACAAGGCAGTCAGGCAGAAAAGTTTAAAGGAAGATAGTCTTGGAGTTCTCAACAGGAAAGGACTATCATATAATTCTACAAAGTTTAACGTAATTTATTTCTAGTTTTTACTTTTAAATATAAGTACGTAAAGTACAATAAAACAGGACAGACGAATAAGGGAAAAAAGGATATAAGGCTATCAAGTGAGAAATAGTTAGGAAGTGTAGGGCAACTAACGAACAATGGATTGGCATGAGGTGTAAAGAAGAAGAAAATTTTGGGCTACGAAAACCGATGAGACTAATAATATAATTAAAAGGAATTTTAAAGATGTATGTTGTAGTAGTAACAATATAAGAAA